ACACGTTGTCATCAATCACCAAAACCACATCGAGAGAGATATGCCTCAACAATAAGCAACGGTGTGGTGAGCAAATTACAGTAGTGGTTAAATTGCATTATATATGAGTATGAATATTAATGACATAATTAGCATAAGAGTGTCACATGCGTAAATCTATAGACCGTTATCCGATTGCATCTATAGCTATTACTCCACTCCAAGGCCACTATTCAGCATGCATCTAAACTGGCGAGAAAATTGTGGCCATGTCAAAATCGGCAAGCCGCTAGAGAGAGACTCTCACCCACGTGTCGAACGCAATGTCAAGGTTTCTCCCCTCCTTGGTCACCCAGATGAACGGCCGGTCGGAGCCTCCAGGCCTATGGTGAGCTCAATGATCTGCCACGGTAACAAATAGGCGAGCACATATCATGGAGGCCTCACATTGAGCCAAGAGATGATCCAGCCTGCGTCCATGGCCGGGCGATGGCCTCTCACACCTTTCGGTCGAGCCGAGCACGTCTGTGTAGCCCTTCATGAACATGCCTTTCAAGGCGACCCACAAAATGATGCAATAGGTCGTGACAGCTTCAAAACCGGGCAATGGGCAAGGCTGTGCTACAATTCTAGTAGCCAAGCCAATTGTTGGAACTGCTACAATATGGAAGCATGCATAGTTTGGTCCACGGCCCATTGGCTTCAAGAAATACTCCCTCCTTAATAATCTAAACGCTCTTATATTAGTTTACAGAAGGAGTACTTTACTTCTTGCACAAATAAGAATGATGTGTCCATTGTTCAATTACGCTTCTCGAAGCTCGCATTTTCTTTGTTCCCCTGATTGTGAAGTTCATTCATAGCAATATGAAAATCGTCCGATGAATCCATTTCGCTGGGACCGATCGACTTGAGGTGGAACAGGGGATCTAAAATTCCTTGCAAATATAAGTAGTTTATCTCGGCTGCAACTTGGTGGCGTAGGTAGGCAAAAGATTCAGGAGAAAATCTGAGGGGAACAACAACTATTTTTGTCTCAAATCTAAGCCTTCTAAAAAATATTCTTCACAATATATCAAAGCCGGGGGCGCCATTGAACAGCTCTAGGAGAATGCATGCGTTCTGATATCACTACGCACAACTCCTATAGCTACTGACCCTACGCTTCACACACCCTGCCTTGTACTATCACTGAAGAGCTCGGCTGCTGCTGCTGTGTACTACAAAATCTTGAGGACTGCCTAACGACATCATCGGCCGACATTTCGCGACGATCGCCAATCCAGCCTCGGTCCGAGTCCTTATTTGACTGAACACGCTAAAATCCATCACTTAACAGCTGCAGACTTCGATCCAGCCTTGGTCGGGGTCCCAGTCGGGCAACGGCAGGCCGGTGCATGCCAATTCCCTGATCCTGCCGACCGGGCTATTCGACGACATGTCGTCGTCGTCGGGCTCAAAGTCTGACTCCCAAAGTGCGGCGTCCAGCGTGCTCGTGGGAGACTCCCACGTCCGCTTCTTCACCGCCTCCTCCTCTTTCTTGATTGGCGTTGCCAGTGCCACGAATGGGTGCTCTAGGAGCTGCGCCGCCGTGTCACGGTCAGAGGCGCGCCTCCGCAAGCACCGGCCCAGGAAGTCCTTAGCCTCCGGCGAGAGCCACTGTGGCACCTCTGGTACGGCGTCGGTGAACCCGATTCGGTGCAGCACGGCGAGCACGTTATCATCGGCGTCACCCCACGGGACGCGACCGCCCGTGGCCATCTCGAGGACGGTGCACCCCAGCGCCCACACGTCCGCCGGGGGACCCTGCTCCTCCCCGCGCGCCACCTCGGGCGCCATGAACGTCGGCGTGCCGCCGAACGGCTGCTTTGTATGACCCGCCGCCCTCGCGCAGCCAAAGTCGGCGAGCTTGGCCCGCCCGTCGGCGCCGACCACCACGTTCCTTCCCTTGACGTCCCCGTGCACCATGAGCCTCTCGTGGAGGTAATCCAGCCCCCTTAGCACGTCCGCCGCGTAAGCCCTTACGGCTTCTTCCTCGAGCCCGCGCCGCTGGTGACAACCTCCACCGTTCCTTGCCGCCGCCGCCACGTCGGCGAGTGATCCGCCGGGCGCGAACTCCAGCAGCAGGTGATCCAGCGCCCCGATCGAGCGGAACCCTAGGCACTTGACGACGTGCGGGGAGGATAGGCCGGACATGATGCCCCATTCGCGGCGCAGCTGCGCGGCATCCCCGGCAGCCGCCGACTTCACGACGAAGAGCTCCCCGGAGGCCGCGTCTTCCGCGAGAGATACAGCAGCACCAGACGCGCCCTGGCAGAGCGGGCGGAGCAGCGTCCAGCCGCTGCTCCCGTTGGTCGGTGCAGCCATTGCTAGCTTTCTCCCGGCGTCGGCGGTGTGGTTCATGTTTGTGTGTCGGGAATGCCACCCAGTGGTACGTCGATGGGTCTGGTGCGGAAGGTATTCATAGCGGGAGGCTGGCATGCTGGCAGGCAGGCAATCTGCATGCAGTGTCAAAGGGGCCAGAGTAGGTAGCGCGTGGCGATAGCTCATTGACATGTGGGCCAGTATGGCCGGTTGGGAAGTTAGCAACGTGGAGCTTATTTAGGAAGGGAACACATGTTTTAGCCAGTTTTTTCCTTCCATATATGCATGTTGTGCAGGCAGGGAAAACTAGCGGCTAAATGGAAGGCGTGTTTTATTTTCGAGTTTAATAGGAATCAAACGTGCCAAATGTGCAGAACTGTTAGAATTTTGGTTAGTCATCCACCTGTTGAGTCTATATACGGTGAAAGTAGAAGGGAGAAACAACGAGGACACAAGATGTCGACCACATTATTCCTCCTTTCAATGGACGACGGGATAATGAACAACAGCGGAATAGTACCGACTAGCGAGCGTTGCCGGTCACTTTGCATCCTGAGAGCATCTTCAACAGCTGCCCAACACGTGACGCGTTAAAAATAAGTTTGCAGCGCGTCGATCGCCTGCTTTGGCGTGGTGGGGAGCGCTGACTCTAGCGGTCGCGATAAATTTAGCACGCACGTAACTCCAGCAGGCGCGCTAAAATGCAGCGCGCACGCTCTCGCACGAACACTCTGGACTAGATTGCATAGATATTTTTTAGATAATAGTAATAATGTATGTGCAATACATGTTTATATTAGGTAAAATATTAGTTTCATGTTATCCTAAAAGAAAATTAGTTTCATGTTATATTATGTAAGATATATCTGTTGACGTTGATATTTGGTAAGATATCAATTATTTTTTCGCAGGAATGATAGGATATTAATTACATGGCAGATTTAAGGGATAGCGTTGAGCCAAAACCTGTTTATAACCAATGAAAGTGATGGATAATTAGAGCGTTAAACGTGTTTGATGCTCAACATTGGAGCGATTTGAACCGCTAGATAACATGATTTGACGGTCGAGATGGTTTGGATCTGTCCATTTGGATCTTTTTATATTGGTTTGGATATAGATAAAATAAACGATACATAGTTCATCATAGTATAGATAAAATTGTACATAGATTTTTACATAATTCATAGCATAGATAGATAAAACTACGGTGCAACTACATAAAAACTACAGTGCAACTACATAAATAAAAACTACAGTGCAACTAGATAAAAACTATGGTGCAACTACAACCTACTCCGAGTCGCCCTCCTCATCATCATCCTCGCTAGTGTTGTCCGAGGTATCGAGTCAAATGTCCTCCCAACGAGAACCATCATCCTCAAAGAACGACTCCCCACCTGCTTCGATGATATCGCACTGTGATATGGCCAGTGCCTTCCGCCGACGCCTGTCCGCCCGCTCCGCGCGGTGCCTTGCCGTCCTCTCCGCCCAGTAGGGGCACTCGTTGGCGACGTCTTCCGGGTGGCGCCGGTGTCACTCCGCCATGCTCCGCACGATCCTGGTCCGTGATAAGACGAGGCGGAGGGGCGACGGCCTGCGCCTGCTCGCGCGTGTAGACGTCGTGAAAGTTCATCTGCGCCGGAGGCCTCTCAAGGCGCCATACCGCCGCGTCGTATGTGCGGGCGGCCTCGTGCGCGGATCTCGAACGTGCCGAGGCCAAGCTGGACGTCACCGGACCGAATCTCGGTGTAGTAGGTGCCACCAGGGCGCTCGCGGAGCAGCAGAGCAAGCGGCAGAGGGAGCGGGCAGAACGCGCGTGGCAGTGTGAAGACCGCGTGGTAAGCGCCATAATTTATAGGCGCGCCAAAAATGGTGCATCAAATCTAGCACGCGAGCTACATCCTTTTCCCCCCGCGCTAGATTCCCTCCTCCGCTGGAGCATGTAAAAACGTCCCGCGCGCTAAAGTGACATTTTACCCCGCGTGTCTTTTGACACCGCTGTTGGAGATGCTTTGATGAAACGGCCAAAGAAGCTTCTATCCGCGCATGCGTCATCACAGAAGAACGCCTGGCACAAACGCCAGCTACTTCGGTGCTTCCCGGTGTCCACCAGAGCCCGGCACCGAAGCGGCGAAGCCGTGGCTAGCTCCTGTTCCGCCAGCGGGCGGCCAATTCCATCCGCGCGCCAATGCTGCACGTCGCCGTCGCAACGAAAAGCTCTCCGCGTTTGCCGCCGAGGTTCTTGTCCACTCGTGGTTCTTGCCAAGGCCTGCACTGCACCTCGAGATGCTTCTTGGCTTCTCTCTCCACATGTCACCATTAACCTCGGACGGGCGACGGGTACATATACGGCATGTCTGGCTGAGCAGCTGTGGCACAGCCGGCAGCCCAATGGACATGGACATGGCGCCGCCGCTACACTTCGTGCTGGTGCCGCTCCTTGCGCAGGGCCACGTGATCCCCACGGTGGACCTGGCGCGCCTCATCGCCGGGCGCGGCGGCACGCGCGTCACCGTTGTCCTGACGCCCGTCAACGCCGCGCGCAACGGAGCCGCCCTGGAGCACGCCCGCCGCGCGGGGCTCGCCGTCGACTCGCCGAGCTCGACTTCCCGTCGGCCGCGGCGGGCCTGCCAGAGGGCTGCGAGAGCCACGACATGGTCAGTGACCTGTCACATATCAAGCTTTTCTACGACGCCATGTGGCTGCTCGCGGGCCCGCTCGACGCGTACCTCCGCGCCCTGCCGCGGCGGCCTGACTGCCTGGTCGCCGACACCTGCAACCCGTGGACGGCGGACGTCGCTCGACGGCTCGGCATCCCACGGTTCGTGTTCCACGGTCCGTCCGCGTTCTTCCTCCTGGCGGCGCATAATCTGGCCAAGCACGGTGTGCGCGACCGCGCCTCCGGCGAGTTCGAGCCGTTCGAGGTGCCCAACTTCCCGGTGCGCACGGTCGTGAACAAGGCGATGTCGCTCGGGTTCTTCCAGTGGCCAGGGCTGGAGGCGCAACGGCGCGAGATGCTGGACGCCGAGGCCACCGCCGACGGCTTCGTCGTCAACACGTGCGCGGCCTTCGAAGGCGCGTTCGTCGAGGGCTACGCGGGGGCGCTCGACCGAAAGGTGTGGGCGGTCGGGCCACTCTGCCTCCTAGACTCCGACGTCGAGACGACGGCCAGGAGAGGCGATCGCGCGGCCATGGACACTGGCCGGATCAGCTCCTGGCTCGACGCGAAGCCTCCACGATCCGTACTCTACGTCAGCTTCGGCAGCATCGCCCGCTTGTTACCGCCGCAGGTCGCCGAGCTCGCCGCCGGGCTGGAGGCGTCGGAGAGGCCGTTCGTCTGGGTGGCCAAGGAGGGCGACGACCTGGACGCCGGATTCGACTCGCGGGTGGAGGGCCGCGGCCTGGTCATCCGTGGGTGGGCGCCGCAGATGAGCATCCTGTCGCACCCGGCGGTGGGCGGCTTCTTGACGCACTGTGGCTGGAACTCCACGCTCGAGTCTCTCTCCAATGGCGAGCCGCTTCTGACCTGGCCTCACTTTGCCGACCAGTTCCTCAACGAGAAGCTAGTCGTCGACGTGCTTGGCGCTGGTGTCCGTGTCGGTGTGAAGGTGCCGTCGACCCACGTATTCCTGGACCCTGAGACACCGGCAGTGCAGGTTTGGGCAGACGATGTCGTAAGGACGGTGGCCAAGCTGATGGACGACGGGGCGGCAGTGCGGGCAAAGGCAATGGAGCTCGCAGCGAAGGCAAGGGAGGCCATGGCAAAAGGCGGGTCCTCGGACAGAGACCTGGTGGGCATGATTCAGCAGCTCAGAAAGCTTGCGAGTAATGAGAAGGATGAAGTTGTGTCTACTACAAGTGTAGATAGGTCATAATTGATTGAGACTTAACGAAATCTCAATCAAGTGACATGATATTTAAGAAAGAAAAAAGAAAAGGCAGAAAAGAAATTTTGCATGTATCTCAAAGAACTTACTAATGTTGCATCGACTGAGACATAACCAAAGCTAAGTCGACTGACATCTAGCAAAATTCTTCTGATATGTCAGTTGTTGGGGGTATCTTGTTGAGGGCAGTCCTGCATTGGCATCTAATAAATTGCATGATTTGTATGATATAAGTTGGACCCTTTTTTTGAAAAGCACTGCTACATGGACGACATTCATCAGACGATACATGCACGACATGCCTATCACACCATCCATAGACAAGTGTGAAACAACAACTAACGGCTGAATTAGCCATCCTCACAGTGTCGTTCAGCAATGTATCTTCCGTAAAGTACTTCCGTTTTTTGAAACAAATTGCAGGACTAAATTGCAAAGAGCCAGTGATACAACACACCCCATAAGATCAAAAGATTACAAACAAGATCTTGAGAATCCGATTCACCACATCCACCAACACGAAATGCCGGCTGTGAAAGAACATATTTCAAATGTGATCGGTTATTGTTCGCGGACGTACCCAAACGCGTTGGCCATATTAGTAGGAACCAAAATAATGTTAGTCATTGCGCTTCTTTTGGTCGCGTGGAAGCAAGAAGTACAGTTTGGCTGTGGTCAAGCCCTGCAAATATACCCACACTTTGTACGGAGGGCTTTATTCTTTCTTGAGTAAGGAAAAATCCATTTTATACTCCGTAAAAAAACAAGTTAAACATTAGCATCCGGTAAGCAGTAAAATAGTAGCCGTGGTCAGCGCTAACATGATGACAGTGTGATCGAAAAGGAAAAGTAACACGATGACAGTAAACGATCGGGTGTGTTTGGTTCGGAAACGAAGTTGAAATGTCACTATTCCATTTCACTGTAATGGGTAGGTTATGTTCGTGTGTTGATTGAGATATTTGATGGAATGAAATGATTACGTTTCAATGTTTGGTTTGAGTGATGGAATAGAATGAATTCAGTTCAAAACATCTCCTATATAAAAGTGACGAGACTAGCTCTCATATGCATAGATATACAATAGGGAAACGATTGGGCGTGGTGCGCCGGCCGAACTTTGGGCCGGTCGCTTCCATGCGCGCTTCGCCCCAGCCACCCATCAAGCGACATGTAGACACGGGGGCCACCAAACGCTATCCTCTCTGCTTTCTTCAACCTCACGCGAATCTCGCCCCACAACACATGCATCTCTCGCCTCCCCCGTTGCAGCACGCGAGCAGCTCGCCGTTGACCATGGATGTAGTTTGGAAGATCGAAGTCCCCGCCGACCATGGTTGCAGCCCCGCTCGTGTCCCCCCCACCCCCCCACCTCCACCCCTTCTTCCTTGTCCCTCACTTCCTTTCTCCTCCTCCTCCTCAAAACACCGGGAGGACCGAGGTGCCCGTGCTACAACCATGGCCATGGGGAGGAGCTGCAACCGCGGTACTGGGAGAGTTGCAAACGGCGTTTTCCCGTGCTACAACCATGGACACAAAAAGCTACATCCAGTAGATAAAAAAGCTTCAACCAGACAATAAAACACAGGAAAAGTTACAACCGTTTGACAAAAAGCTTCAACTCGCCGTTGAAAAAGTTTCAACCAGAGATTGACAAATCTTCCTCGACTACGGCCATGGCGTCTCTCTGTGATTTCACCCAGGCGCTGCTCAAAACGAAAAAAGTTTCAATCATTTACAGAAAAGCTTCCACCGTAGAGGGGAAAAGCTTCAACCATTGAGAGAAAAGCTACAACCGTGTCAATTTTTTGCTACAACGACATCTGTTTTTTGCTGGACCAACAGATTTTGCTACATCCAGCATCGTTTTCTACAGCCGGCATCGTTTTTTGCTGGAACTAGTCAAGTGTCTAGCTTCCACCAAGAAAGAAAATGCTTCAACCGTTTGTGAAAAAGCTTCATCCAACTAAAGGAAAAGTTTCAAGAGTGGCATGAGGAAAAATCTTCCACCGCGGGAAAAAGCTTCAATGGTGGAAAAAGCTTCAAACATCAATGAAAAAGCTTCAACCGCCAGAAGAAAAAGCTTCAAGCGGTAATGACAAAAAAGTTTCAATCAGGGGAGCCGGGCGAACGACGATGGCGACGAGGACGGCGACCGGCGACCGGGAGCGGCAAGGAAGGCGACCGGGGGCGACGAGGACGACGACCGGGGGCGAGGACGACGACCGGGCGGCAACAAGGACGGAGATCGGCAATCGGGGGCAAGGACGGCGACCTGGCGGCAACAAGGAGCTGCAGATCTAACCCGAGATAGAAGAAGCCCGGGACGAATCGTTTTTTTTGCTGCATCCAGTGGCCACGCGGGCTCGCATCGAACTGCTAGGGCTGGACCGGCTGAAACTGTTCGGCCGGTGCGCCGGCGCCTAGCATCGCCCTATACAATATGACCAAGTATAAAATCTTTGTATTTTTGGAAACATAATATTGGTCGGACCCGTGGCATTCCGTTCGATGACTGAAACTAAACAGACCCTAAGTGACGAGGTCTCGCTTTGGTTTTGACAGTTGCAGGTTCAGACGGGTCCTGACGAAGCTCAATTTCCCGTCGCCGCCTTCCATCTGTATCCGCCGTCGCCTCAACTCCCGGCGGCGGTCCGAGGTCAGAGATCTGGTAGCTTTATCCGACCGTCTACGACTCGGATTCTGAGGAGGTACGTGACCTTTTTCCCTTTCCCGATCGCAATCGGTTTAGGATCGAGTCCGATTTCAACTTAGTTAGAACCCCTGGCAGGCAGCCCTTTTATAACTGCCTATATAATTCAATTCAATCAACACAATCTTCGTCCTCTAGTCTGATACCTAGACTGCCTTGGCAGATTATATGACAGACAGATCCGTAGAGCGGATGATGAACCGGAGAATTGATAGCCCGGAGGAGGAGCAGATGATCGGAGGGGTGCGTAAGCGGCGGCAAGGGCAGGCGAGCTACTCTGAACGCACCGGCAAAAAGCTGGAGAAGCAGAAGCACCTCTACCTGCTGATCGATGACTGGAGCAAAGGCTTCACCCTTCATAAGATTGACAAGGACACTAACTACTCTGACCTCCGGGAGCCTGGCGTTCTCCGGTTAATCGCACCCGTGCCTCGTCGTTGCATGACCTTCGCTGCCATGGGCGGCAACATCTTCATCACCACTAACCCACGCCGTGGACAGACCTCCAGCCTCGTTTACGACACAGAGGCACGAAAATATATAATAGAACACCTGCACCCAGGCCCTCCCTATCTAGCCATCCATTCTGCGCTTCGTGATTCGTGCAAACACATTTCTCTTTTTTGTTTCTCTCGCATAAAACATGTTTTGAAATTCAAACCTTTGCAGCGTGGCAAAGCTTTCTATCTAAAATCTAGGATAAAAATCTGAAAGATTTATCCTAAATTCTAGATAGAAAGCTTTGTCACGCTGCAAAGGTTTGAATTGCAAAACATGTTTTATGCGAGAGAAACAAAAAAAAATTTCAGATAAAAAGTTAGTTGTGTTGCACAGATCTTAAAACAATATTGGACAGTTAGGATAGCAGGGCCCGGGTGCAGATGTTTTAAAAATTCACGTCTTACGGAGACGGCCGGGCTGGCCGTCGGCCCTCCCCTCCCGGAACCACTGCTGTGTCACCATAGGTGTGTTGCCACCACCGATGCGCTGTATGCATTCCCATGTTTCGTCCAAAACACGCAGCAGGACTTCTTCCAGGCCATGTCGTTGGCACCAACGGAGAACGACGATCCGTGGGCTCCAAGGCCGACCATGGACTGGCGCTGGCAGAGCGTGCCCTCGCCGTGGCCGTTCACCAAGGAAGTCATCGACTCGTACGCCTTGCACCCAGATGGACGCACCATCTTCCTAACGGCGCACAGCAAGTACGACGGCCCAAGCCCGTGCCCGTCGGCCATGTCCACCTTCTCCTTCGACACCAAGGGCCAGCGGTGGAGGTCACATGGGGATTGGCCCTTGCCCTTCAGGGGCCAAGGCTACTTCGACAGCCAGCTCGATGCATGGGTTGGCCTCCAGAAGGATGGCACCATCTGCTCCTGCCAAGTTGCCTCCCGCACCAGCACAACCCAGTCGCAGCCGGACTGGAAGACGGTCAAGGAAAGGTTTTTCTCCAAGCCCCCTGACAGCAAGCGCCGACTGGCGGCGCCAATGGACGCCACTCTCACACATTTGGGCAACGCCCAGTTTTGCCTTGTGGAGTGTGCTACGCGAGGGAGTCGAGTACAAGGATGCTTTTGGCGACCGTGACGGCTGCATGCTCCGAATCACCACGTTTGGCCTCAAGTACAGCCATGAGGAGCTGCAGACCATGAACCGCATCACTAACTCGTATATAGTGTCAAAGCATGCCCCCTTGTTTTCTCCCGTAGCCTTCTGGATGTAGAAGAAGCTGCTAGTAGCATACTCTGTCCCGTCCGTCCACTACTCTGTATCTAGATGTATATTATGACACTATGGGCCGAATGGAATCCTTTCAGTGAAAATCTATGTATCTGAACCTAATTGATTTCGGGCCACTGTCTAGGTCACTACACATATGGAAGATTCGAGTTTCGTTTCGAATTAAGATTTTCATGTGGTTCGTTCATAAAGGAGTCATATTAACCAAAGATAACTTGCTAAAAACAAGTTGGATCGGTAACTTCGGATGCTGTTTTTGTGATCACAATGAAACGATTAAACACCTATTTCTCGAGTGTCCACTTGCAAAACTATTATAGCGCACAATACATATAGCTTTTAACGTCCACCCCCCAACGAGCATAAACACGTTATTTGATACATGGCCCAATGGAGTGAACATACATATAACGAAACATATTCAAATAGAGATATGAGCACTACTTTGGGCAATATGGAATACTAGAAATGATTTGATTTTTAATGAGACAAACTTCACGAATTTTTTGCAGATTATCTATAGAGCTACAACGTGGATCTGTATGTGGTCATTACTCACTCATGTGAACTCCAGGGGGCCTTTGATTATTGGGTGCAACCGTTGGGAGACGGTAGCACTGGCTATCTTCAGCCGATTTGGACGACGAGCTGATAATAGGCTAGCTGTATAGGCATCGTAGCCTGCTCTATATCGCCGGATGTGGCATCTTTTTTATGTTTTCTTTCGTTTTGCACTATGATTATGAGCCTCTTGTGGCCCCGAGACTCTATTACACTATTTTTAATAAGATGGCTGCATGCATCGATTGATGCAGAGGCCGAGTTTTTTTTTCACCTTTTCCAAAGAAAGAAACGACACTATGGGCCGAGTGATTATTTTTCTTATTAAGGGTGGACCTGATGTAAATTATGATTTCGGGCAATAAAATGTTTGCTTCTCTCTTGCCAATTGTGTGGAACCTGCTGAGCTATTTTCTTTGTATGTAGTTCTGGGAGATGATGCCTGTACTCATGAACTAAAAGATTTTGTGCGCTTTTGCTCATCACAATATATTGCTGTATCTTGTTGATAAATACATATGACGTGTTCTGTTCTCTCACCAAGCAATTTAAATATTTATTGCATTGTAAAAAAAAGAATATGTTTACAAACTACTCCCTCCGTCTCATAATGTAAGACATTTTTTGACACTAGTTATGATACGGATGGAGTAATTTATAAAAAGGACACCGAAGCGGATAGGGTCTGGAATGCCGGCAGGGAGATCAGATTGTGTATTTCTAGATAGTAAAAGTGAGGCTGCAGCTTCTAACTCCAAGCACAGTAAAGTTGTTTCCCGTGAAAATGTAGACTGAATGCTCCTGGAATTTACAGTATCCTTTCCTGAAGAAATCTCAAGTACTAGAGAGAGAAATAGGGCCTACTGGCATGAAGCTTCACAGATCAGCTTGCTGAAGACCAGCGCATCTACAACATCTGTGAGTTCTTGTCAGTGATATGTTGATATTTTGTCTTAGTTTGGTACCTTATGTAGGTGATGATATTTGCCTTTAAATTTGCATGTTGTGTCTGGTGATGCTGTTTGATTCTTACTACCGCTTATGACCTAGTACTATTTACTGCACGTCTAATATTGTGCTTAATTCATATGAAAGCTGGATGTATTTGTTGCAAGTGCGACCTTGTTTTACTGAACCAGCTGAGCTGAACTAAGACTAAATAATTTCGATATTGCACTTCTAGTAGAAACAGAACTCTCTCAACTGGCACTCGTGGTACAAATGGAAGATTTGGAATTATTCAGGATGCCAAGAGTATTTAACCAAAAACTACCACAATTCACGGAACCGTGACGAAAAACTACCACTTTACGATTTTGTGCACTACCGCTTTTTTCCTAAACTGTGGCAAAAAACTACCAAGTCTGAAAAGAGCCCGATTTGGCTCTTTTAAACGCGTTTCTGACAGAGTTGGCCCACACATAAGTGGGTTAAAAAAGCAATCGGGTCCCTTAAAAAAAAGCAATCCAGTCCTTCCTTGGACGGCGGCGGGCACCCGACGGGTACGCGATGTCGGTGGAGCTCAGCGCGAGTGCCGGCTCCACGTGGCCGACCGACTCGGTGGTGCGGGTGGTGCTCTGGAGCGGCATCGTGGAGGTGTACGCGGGCGTGGTGCTCGCCTGCGCCGTCGTCGGCAACCACCCGCCGGGCCTCTGCCTCGCGCACCCGGACGTCTTCCGCAACCCACATGGCGCCACCGTGCGCCCGCTCGAGCCGCTCTTCCCGGGCGTGCCTGGCCGCGCGCCCGTCGCCGCGCCCCTAGCCGAGCCCCCTGGGGTGCCTGGCCGCGCCCATGGCCGCCCGCCCGTGGCCGCGCGCCGCCCCGCCGCGCCCCTGGCCGCGCCAGTGGCCGCCGCCCCTGGCCGCGCCCGTGGCCGAGCGCCCCTGGCCGCGCGCCTGGCCCCGCCGCGCCCCTGGTCGCGCCCCTGGCCGGCGGCCTCACAAGGACTGGATTACTTTTTGAAAAAGAAAACAGGGACCCGATTGCTTTTTTAGCCTGCTTATGTGTGGGCCAACTCTGTCAGAAACGCGCTTAAAAGAGCCTAATCGGGCTCTTTTCAGACTTGATAATTTTTTGCCGCGGTTTAGGAAAAAAGCGGTAGTTTTTCGCACAAAAATGTAAAGTGGTAGTTTTTCGTCACGGTTCCGTGAATTGTGGTAGTTTTTGGTTAAATACTCGGATGCCAACAATAATGATTTGTGTGACACACAATGGCCAGGATGGTCAACAACCAAAAGATTCAATATCATTGCATGAGTAATCTAGGCCATTGGAACCGAGCTGCTCTTAAAAAAGGGGAAGCAGAACCAAGTCAAGAGGATTCAACCCTTCTTCATGTGCCAAAAAGCTTACCTGTTTCGAAGGAACTAGAGCTACATTTATTTTCAGTCTCCGCGGGGCAAAGGCCCGGCATGGGTTGACAGTAGCGGAGCGGTTTCGCAGCCCTCCTCTCCCTCTCTCCCCCAACCCTCTAGGTCGCCGCCAGGGGAGCTCTTCTATCGCGCCAATGGACGTCGGCCGCCACGAGCGGATATCCATGCGACCAAGATGGCAGGTGTCGGCCTGGGGGCATACCTCCATGGAGCCAACTCCTACACGACTCTAGTATCGGGCGGGGCTCTCTAGCCCGTTTTAGGGATCATAGCTTGGGGTGGTTGTGGCCACCGCCCTCCTCGTGTCGTGGTCATGGCCAAGTGCACTGGCGACTTCCTCGCTCGGCCCTGCGCTAGGGCTTGCTGCTCGGGGTACCCACGCCTAACCAGCTCTGGGCATGTGAAAGTGCAAGCGTCACTTAAAATATATTTTGGAGTGATGACAATATGGTTAGAGGAACTAATATCGGGTGCTAAAGTTTATCTCAGGATATTGGTTCCGAGTTGTTCTTGATGGAGGTGTACGACCCCCCAATTCAAAAAAAATCAAAAGCTTGGTCTACCAGTGATTCGAAGGTTTTTCTTTTGGTTCGATTCGAGTCGTAGGAAAGACTGCACTATTAAGAGGGGTCAGGGTGGATATGCCTTGTGTGGGGATGCCATTGCCGAAACACAAACACCAGCCTACCCATTACTACCACTTAAATCCATAGTGTGCTAGCGTGTGGTACTCAGAAAGTGTGCAACAGAGACCCCCGTGCGCACGGGGTACTGCGTAACTTCCTGGGTACCCCATGCGCACGGGGTCTTTTGACCCCCGTGCACACGGGCTATTTCATAACTCCCTGGGTACCCCGTGTGCACTGGTGCGTTTGTTCCTGAGTACCCCTTGCGCATGGGGTCCAACGGGCAGAAACGGCCACCCGGCCAAGAACACTATAAAAGACCCTTCTTCCTCCTCCATCCCTAACCCTAATGTCTTGTTGAGCTCCACCATTGCTACACCCCATTTTGCTCAATACTCTCAATCCCTCCACCCAAACTTGTTGAAACTTTGGGGATTGGGAGAGAAAGACCTGATCTACATCTTGACCAAACCAAATCGCGTTCCCCAGAACATTTCTTCCCCATTGACTTGGTACTCTTGGAGCTTGGGATCCTAGGCGGTTAGAGGTTCCTCCGGAAGCTTCATTGCTTGTGGTGTGCTCCGGAGAAGTTTGTAAAGGTGTGGTGGTCGCCTTCAAGACCAACCCCGAGTGATTCGAGGCTCATCCGTTGGGGGTGACTCGAAAGAGATTACGGTGAGCCCTCATGGCGTTCCGCAAGCTTTAGCTCCGGCACCGCTCTAAATGGAGAGTAGCTCTTCCCCAAGGAAGAGTGAACTTCGGGATAAAATCCGCGTCCTCGCCTCACTTGTGGTTAATCTTTTCCCGCACTTTACTTTGCCTTGTATGCTTGTTGGCTTGCTAATTAGATTGTTGCCTAGCATATTTGGCTCTAAGCTTGCTTGTCATATAGGTTGTGTTCATATAGTTGCATATCTAGTGAACCCTATTTATCCGCTAAACCTTAAAATTGACAAAAAGATTAAAATTTGTAGTTTCCTATTCACCCCCTCTAGTCTGACCGTATCGATCCTTTCAATTGGTATCAAAGCCTCATGCTCTAATATAAGGTTTTACAACCTTAGAGGATATGGTCGACCTAGGGAATGTGGGAGGTG